AGTGTAAAATCTGAATTCGTATAATTCAATCGCCGTATTCCTACTACGCTGTGACCCATTCTGAAGGTTTGTTTCAGCGTCTACTGGGAGCCGTGAGGTGCGCCTTGCCCGAGGCGAACACCCAAGTTGCCCTTGTGAGGTGAAGCCATTGAGCGTGTGTTGTGTGCGCAGATGAACACGGTGTGGGTGTCGTGCCAGGGGGAGAACCCCGCGGACAAGGAGAACATCGGCCCCATCGAGTACATCCCGCGCCGGGGCTTCCCCGGCTACTTCTACCCGTACGAGAACTCGGAGGGCTACCTCAGCCCCATCATCGCCATCCACTTCAAGCGGCCGCGCAGTGAGTACTCCTCCCCCACACACCGACGAGCCGTGCTCAAAGCAGGCGGACAATGTGGTCAGGCCTGACTTTCTTAATGTACCATTCACAATGAATATACCACAGTGTTTCTAGCACAAAACCAATTAATCCGTTCACGTTGGATATCACACGAATAGCACATAAAGCCAAAGTTTTTTAACGTCAAAAACCGTAAAAACTGTGACGCGATGGACGTTTGGACGAAAAGCTATCTGCATCCAAAGCAAAGCGAGACGATATCTGAACGACTGGCGAATGGCAGATGGGCTAATGTACCTGTCTTCGCGACGTGCGTTGGTGTCGTCCTTAGATTCACTTTAACGTGCAGAATTCTCATTACTAGTGTGATACTTGTGAACTTTTGTTTATCAATTCAATAATCAATAATTCGTAAAAAAATCTTTCTATTTCCAAAAAAGCCCATTTTGTTCACTTACCTCGATTTAACCCAGTATTTTGTGAAAAGGTCGTGATACATTTCGCACTCCTGGTTGCACTTCGAAATGCAATAAATAGGCGGATATAAACTGTAGCGCTGTTTATTAGTTTGCCACCTTCGGAAGCAAACTGAAAACAGCTCAAGGAATCTCAGACCATATTTTTTACGGGCTGCAATGGGGGTTGATCAACGTAGACATTTTGTCGCGCGCAACTTCATAGCTACGCTGTATTCCTCTTGAACCTGCCACACGCATAGAGGTTTGAGCTCGAGAACTGTAGAACACTGCTCGAGGAGAACGTAAACGAAAGACGGAATGAGGGAGACGCCGCGCCGCGCCGTGCCGCAGGCAGTGTTGCCGACGCTGCCCGCGTTGCGGCGGGGCGGGGCGGGGCGCCCGCGCTGTGGGCGTGGGCGGGCGCTGAGCGGAGGCCGCGGGCTGTTGCAGCGGGCATCCTCATCAACATCGAGTGCCGCGCGTGGGCGCGCAACATCGAGCACAACCGCGCCGACCGCGTGGGCATGGTGCACCTGGAGCTCATGATCGACTAGCCGCCGATCCACCGCGCCGCGCCGTGGGACGCCCTCTCACATAGTGAACGGACATAGCGAAGATGATATCTTAGGTTAAGTTCTCTAATAAGAACGAATCTCTGAAAATGTGCTCCTTTCCTAAGTTGTTCCGGAGGAGACACATTCCATGCAGCTTGTGCAGAGTATTATTTATTCAGGGAAAATCGCTATAAACAGTGACTACATATAGAATTATATTTTTAATTAGAAGCTGAAATTCTTATATTGACGAGACTATAGCAGGGGAGAGCTTCACTTCAAGTTACGTTGCAGCATCAAGTACAAAGATTACTAGACATGGGTTTAGTGACGCGTTTAATTGGGCTGCAACATGTCTTTTCGGTGTAAGGCGTTTTCTTGCTGGTTTGTTTTGTGATGATATTTGCTAGTCCTTTCATGTGACTGAGCTCCACCAACAAGTTGTCATTAGCTTTGTTGAATATACTGAATAATGAGAAATATTTTTTGAAAGGTTTCCAGAGTGAGTAAATATAAAAGTGAAATGTTTAAAAGTATGAAATTTTGTGTGAAAACTAGCGATTCCTAAAATTCCGTCTTAACACTCATGTGCCTTTGTATTTTCGTCCTAATGCAGTGTGATTGGTGTCTCACTTTATCAAACAGAACCAGCTCCTTGTTTTCAGTGTCATTGTAACGTCACTCAAAGAAGCATCCAAAGATATAATCGAACAAAAAATGTGAGAAAACGACGCAGTGCTGCTAAGAGCTGTCCCTCAATACATTTCCTTCATTGTAACATTCCAACAATAGAAAGTTTTGAGGAAGTTTCTGTGAGATGAGTATTCTGTGCACGCGTTTTGTCGAACTCTAGCGACTCTATAGCCTCTCTTTCTAAAACAGTTGAATTAAATGCACTAACAAGTTTTTGAAATTTGTTAACAAGAAATGTTCGCCCTCGTGTTTGTAAAACAGTTTTCATCGGAAAACTACCTATAAATTTGTCAAATAATCAAAATAGTCGTTACTCCTCCTCTCGCATCTAGCGAAATTAGAGTTCAAGAAAGCGTGCGCAAGCTATGGCATTAGTAGAGAGGAAAACATATCAAATAAATGTATATTCTTCTTTTCTGGGCAAAGCATTCCATTTGCTACATTCCGTTATTTTTTATTATACTATGTACTCTGTAGACGTGAAAATGTAAATTATTTAGAATTGCAAATATTTCAAGGATCATTATTTTTTTCTATTAAAAAAGCCAATAGCACATCTACGAAAGATGCTCTTACCTTACCATTCTCGCAAGTCTAAAGTGAAATGGAAAATAAAAGTGAATTAATCCTAAATATACTAGCAGTATCTGTATCAGTCTCAGTCAAAGAACGCATCTTTTCTTTCGAAGTGGAATGCTCGATGGGTGAAATTACCATAAAACAAATGAGATTACATCATACTGCAGAGTATCCAGATATTAATCCAGCAGCAGGCAGCTGGTTTTATTTGTATTTCCTTGTTCTGGTTGTAAAGAATGTTGCTTAAATAAAGTGGTAAAATTGTCACCAAAGTATGAAAAGTCTTATAGTATGTACAAAGATATGAAATGTGAATCAATTTTTTTGTTCACACTTTTGATCCTATTTTATTTTACAGAACATGCCTTCAATTATTAAGCATTTAGAAGTGTCAATTCCTTAACACGAAGTTACTCAGTAAAAAAATTTTACGAACCCAAAATAGCTTATTGAAATGTTATTGGAACAATGTACTAATGAAATTCTAGACTAACCATGGAAAGTCACAAATTTCACATTGTTTTGCTACTTACTAATACTTGTAAAATTTGTCATCTTCGGCTAGGATACGTCTTTGCTGTCTCCACGTTTTTAGAACAAGTCCTTCCATCTCTTTTGTAGGATGTCCACCATTTCTTTGTCCTGTAGCTCGTATATAAACAATTTTCTTGGAAATCTTTTGTCGTCCATTCCTACCACATGGAGGAGTCATTTTGCAGGCAGTGTTGCTTCATCGTCCCTAGCTCTGCCAATCCTTGAGCCCGACCACTTGCTCGCCCGGTCGCGAGGATGACAGGCTGTTTGCCGATATCAGACATTCGGTGATCCCCAACTAGAGTAGCCACCTCTTCAGGGTTAGAAGTAATCTCCGGGTTCATATGAAAAATCGCACCATAACCGAGCATTTAAATTTCTTGTAAAAATTTACGGAATTGTTTGGCAGAAGTACGTGATATGATGAGCATGATTGCGGTATTTGTTTTCGCCTCAAAAAGGTAATTCACACTTTAGTGTGGGGAAAAAAGAACTCGTATTCTACATTAAAAATCTTTCTCCTCCATGAAAATTATTTTTACATCAAATAATAATTTTCAATATTAAAAATTTCAATTCAACAATAAACTACGCGAAAAACCGATGCATCTCGAAAGACGCCATGATGCGATATAATGCACAGTAGTCTTAGAGTTTTTCTCTGTAGGATTCTCTGTATAATCACTAATAATATTTACATTTCGCGCCAGGAATGTGTATGATCCATAAAAATAGACATTCATCTTTTGGTATCTTAATTCTACGGTCTTGAATCACATTCATTATGACTTACTTTTTGCAGATACCCCCACTCCCGATTCAAAAGCTCCGGGTTACGGTCTTTCAGAAGGTGACAACCCTATCGCCTACGCGTAGCATGTCTGCCTTTCCGGCACATTCTTCACACTTCTGCTTCTCGCCGAATGTGTGGAGTCGCAAACACCTTATTTCAAACAAGATATTACATACACAGCGAGTGATGAGTTTATACGCAGTAATCTCTGAAAGTGCAAAATCAACATCGATATAATATTTCTGTTAGTTTCGATTCAAGATCTGGAGCATTTTATACCTACCGTTCCGTCAGACACTCTGGTCATCACTGAATAGTGTCAAAACACTGGAAGTTAAAGGTTCATCATTTTGAGTTCATTCTTAGCATACATTGTCATTGCTTGAGGGTTACAGGGTCGCCTTGAAAGTGGGGAGGGACAACTTGTTCCCGGCCTCGACTTACTTGGGGTTTCGAATTTTTACTTTCGAAACAAATGAAGTATTTATTTCTAATTCGAATGAAGTGCTTCGCTTTATTTCTGTAGTCTAGAGAAATAAAATCCGTCCATATATTGGGGGGGGGGTGATTTTTTTCTTTAAAAAAGAGGATCCCAGCCTGGGGTCTGTTTTCTCTGGGCACCCCTAGTGGGCTTTCAAAGTATTTTGTGAACAAACATTTTTACGAACGATATTAATGTAGAAAGATTTCCTACAATTACTATACAAACGAATCTTCGCACTTAATTTTTATCCAGTTTTCACAATAGGAATCCTGACATATTTCGTTCATGAAGTTCACTCTAAGCAAGGAAGATGGAGCATTTTAACACATTTTTACAAATGAATCTTTTCCTTACTGCACCAATGAAAGGGACGTTGGTGAAGACTTTCGTCGATACGACGGTTACTCAGACGCCAAAACTGTACATTTTTATATTTAAAGATTAAAAAAACGAAATGCTTATCAACAAACAGTTACTTCCTGTACTTCAACTTCACATAAAGAATTAGTGAGTATTTCTCATTACAATTAGTATTGTTTAATTTTTTAAATTGTTAATATTCACGTGTCTGTTCATGGATTAATTCATGATTGTTCATAATATGGCCCTTTAGTTTGGGACAGACCTTTTAAACTATTGTGGTATCTACATTACTATTTTTGTTTTTGAAATATAAATATTTCTTTCGGGGTATACTGGTGCTCCGATCTTCAAGCGGGTGATTAGCGGCATTTCGTCCCTGGGGCTGCACGCGGAGGCGCAACAGTAAAAAAAATAAAAATTCAAGCGACCATGTTACCAAGTAACAAATGTATTTTAATACTTAAATTAGCTCAAAGAATTTGAACGGCAGAGTAACTGGGCGTAAACCAGAAGATCAATTATTTAAACAAATTTAATTAATAAAAAATATTGGATTCAGTGTATTTGGTACACTCTATTTTTCCTCTCTTCTGCCTCAATATTCATTCATTAGTCATTGCATGTGGCGACTAGTACAACCGTGTGACAATGATGAGGCGCATGAGAGACAAGGGCAGATATTCGAAGTTTCTGAGATTTGCAATTAAAAATAAAATATTTCTCATTAATAACTCATTTACGTCGTGTAAACTATTGAATACCGTCCAATCACCTGGTGAACAAGAAGTTCCGATTCACGAATAAATTTCGGAATTTTTTCTCTTCTCACTTCTGTATTTTGGAAGAGCTTAATTCGACTTTGAGATTTGCACCTTGACAAATGTCGATTCACAAAGTAAATTGAAGGGGGGGAAAAGAAAAATTTCGCAATTTTTTCAGGAAATCAGATACCAGATTCAGGGAATCTGGAATCTGATTAGGACGGACATTGACTACATGATTTTGCCGCGTATTTACGCACGACCTGCAAGGGTTTTCCGCCTTTCGAAAATCGCACTCCTCAGCTGTAGTCGAGCCGCTTTGGGGGTTACTTTGTCAGTGAGGAGAGATTGCCTGCTGAGGGCAACGAAACATTTGACCACCGTTTATTAATTGTCGTAATTATGTATTAACTTCCATTACAAACAAAATTTTGTGACACGCACATTTTACTTCGTCATTACTCTCGTACTATTAGCCCAAGATTATTCCTGAGTAAGAGAATAAACCAACATTTTTTAACATGCGTAATATTTTTTTTCCATTAAAATTCCAATGTTTGCGCGGCGTACTTGGATTCCCCCGAGGGTTTTTATTGTTGTGTGTTATTGCTTCTGGGAGGAGTACAGGCAACAGGTTTGTGTATTCTTACAGAAGGCGTAAGAAATGTATTTTATTTTCGGTGCGTAATACTATAAAAGTTAGTTTTCCTAAAACAGCTTGGGAGTATCTGTGTGAATCGTTACTTTTTCCCTTTGGCGGATGCTCTCGATACACCTAGTTTCTTTCACGCGAAATAACAGAAGGGTTAACAATTTCTTGAGTTCTTACGTTATCGATGCTTTCACAGAAGCAGATGAAGTTCGCGTAGACCATAAAATGTGGCGGTAACAAACATTATTTCAGAATTATACCTATCGCAGATGGTTCGCTTACCACCTCTCAGTAAACATCATTCGGATCAGGAAAAAATTATATACAATTTAATATTACTACTCTTCTGAGAGAGTAGAAACGGTACATATCTGACAATGTAACCCAAGACTATAAACATTATGGTTTGGCTTTGGACATGGATATAAGTTGTCCTCGTCGGCGATTGGCACATAGTGACATTATTTAGCACGGAGAAATCAAAGGCGAATTAGATTCTTTCAAAACCAGATGGTAGCAGTTGTCAATGCCCCCTGAAAGTTTACCTTCGTATTATTCCGTAGTGATGCTGTATTTCTTTTTAACCCAAAACCATGAACTTATTCTGTATTTTTGTTTCATACCTAACATTAACTTTTTAGTTTTATGGTTTCTTTTACATCATAATTTGGCCCATGAAATATAAATTGTTAGTAAAAATACTGCATTGTACAAAACGAATTGTATCTTCTTTCCCTGGTTTGTCATATTTTGTTTATCTGACACTGGGGTATACAAATACTCCACGCAAATAAAGTCCCTACTGATTCTACGAGTTAAGGAGTACTATTAATTTGACAATTAAAAATGCATTCGTCATAGTCGTTTTCAAGCACGATGTACTAGTGGAAGTGGGATGTGTCTGCGAAATAATAAGGTAGGAGAGGGACTTTCTCCCGTATTTGCTAGAGGGCCAAGAGCTCGCCGATTTTCGGGGCGCTTCACTGCTTGAAAGAGTTGTCCAAAACTTAAAATTAACGCATGCATTTCGTAGAGATGATTTTTATACTTTAATTTCATATGTAAAGGTCATTTCGTTCGGGCGAAAAGTTCGAAATTTTTAGATTAAAAAAAAATGTATTTGTGAAACGACATTTTTTGATATGTAAAACCTTAAATTCTAACTCGGGGCCACAAAAAATAGAACCAGTGAGATAGTAACTTCCGGAATGTTTTCCTGGACCGGATGCCTAGTGACTGGACACTTACATTTTTTGTTGTTGTTAGAATCCATTATAACTTCCTTGGCACAGTCTTTCGGTTTACTACCGTCTCTTGATTGTGACTGCATAGCGCCTCTACAGAGGTCGCCTATTTTTAATCTTCGTACTGTGCCTTCCGCGTGCATCAATGCAAGTTCAAAGGGTGATTGTATTTGTTATGTGTGTGATACGAGCTTGCTAGTTTGTGTCCGTAATACCAAACAAGCTCGCGAAAACTGTTAATGTTCGCAGATATTGATATATTGATTGTGATAGTGAAAGACATGAACGACGTTTCTCATTGAATTAGCGAACTATTTATTACACTTAATCAGGTAAGTATGTAGTTATTCCAAAACAAGCGATTATGTATCCACTTCCATCCATATAATTTTATTTGGTTTATTTACTTTTATAGTTGTCTTGTAATTTTAAGTGGCGATTTTTTTCGGGAACTTGAACTTAGTGGCTGCGCCGCTCTCCTAAATTCTCAAGTGCCATTTACCTACTTGTTTAATCGAACAGTTGTACATGATTTGATGAGCAGCTTTGTTCTAAATACGTAAGGAGCAGGAAGAGATCTTTGAAAAAGTTTAATGAAAAAAATTGTAATCATATTCTGGGTGGAGATTTTAATGCAAGTACGGGGAATACATAAGGCTTGGATTTAGTTTCGATGGGATGAATAGATGCTCTAAGATCGGGCTTATAAATAGGGTGTTAAATTGTTGAATTAGGGTGGCATATAGTTAATAGCAACATGGAGTGGGATGGGAAAAGGACCCTTCTGAGAGGGAAATGGATAGCGTCAAACCTATTTTCTGGGTAATGGATTGAATATAGCAAACTGATAGTAAATGATAAGGTTTGATTGTACTTACCAATATTAGTTGTTTTCTTTTGATTTTGTATAACCAAGAGAAGTAAGAGTATAAGAGGTGTGGAAAGAAACGGAAATGGGAGAGAAATTGAAAGGGAGAAACGTGCCTGGTTGTTTAATAGATATGACGAAAAGAAAAGTAATTGTGGAAGGGACAGTGGAAGGGAAGGGACGTAGGTTGTGTGTGATGAGAGGATTGGAAGGTAGGTGGGGTGTAGTGCTTAAAGATGGAAAAAGTAGTGAGGTAATACTTTAAGAGATGGTCGTAAATTACGATTGGGAGTGAGGGTTTTAGAGAAAGAAAAACGAGTTACAAGGCTTGTGTTGGAGAAAAGAAGAGAAATTTTGAGGAAAAGGATAAAATGGCATTGAATACTAAATCAGAGAAACGGACTTGGGAGATACTGAGGCGGGGGAGGTTCAGAAAAAGAATAGGAAGGGAAACCACAGGACGTGGTACGAGACATTCAAAGGTTTGGAAGAAAGGGATGTCAACGAGCTGGAGGTGGATCACGAAGAAAATCAGAATTTGATGAAAGGATTAAAATGCGATGGGATTTGGGAAGTCGTTGCTAAGGAGGATGGTGTAAGACTGGCAGAGAAACGTGAAACGTATGAGAAATATGTTTTGCACACATTTCAATGAATGAGAAAATAGCTGGCTCACACATGCAAAGAGCAACTGTTTCGCACACAATGTGTTAAAAAATAATTATTACATTCACAATATTTTTTTTTTTACTTTCGCTAAATGGGGAGTGTGATGCATTCATTATTCCTTCTCTATTTCAGTGTTTCCTGCATCGTAGTAAAGAGACAAAACCAGAGCCCTATATTATCCTCTTAAATTACAGACAACTTTTGTTAACACAATGCATCACGTGAATTCGCAACATCAGTTCAGTTCATCTAAAGAAAATATCTGCAATGTGAGATGGTGGATAATGAGCGTTTAGATACGTACCTTCTCTTTATTTTGTCTTAGAAACATTTTATCGATAGAATGATATTTTGAGAAGAATATTCAAAAATTGTATATCTTTGGTCTTTTGAAAAGCAGTTGTGTTTGCAAAATAAATGGTGAAGGATGTGTTGGGTTAGGTAACGAAAATTAGTTTAACACCAACAATATATATTTCTAAAATTATTTTTTCTCAATTAATATTGTTTAAGAGATACATTTTTATTATAGCACTAAAATATAAAAATATATAATCTGAGTAGTTACATTTACGAGTAGTTCAGTCTTTATGATAGTAGTAAAGCCTCTGTTGGCTTGCAAATCCCGCAATAACAGTACTACAGTATTGCAGAATTATTAATTTATTTCTAAAGTACAAAAACTTACAGAGAACCTCTGCGGGCTCGGTTGTAAATTTGTCAGCACGATTAAATCTCCCGCTTTATCACAAGAAAAGAATGGGGACAAATAATTATTGACGGAAAAAATATTAAGAAGTTTTGTCAGTATCTCTTACAAGGGATCTTTGAACAGTCGCAGGTCAAAATGTGACCTGATGTTTTGTTTTTTTATTGAATGATATTCACTATCTGTATTAGTGGTGACATTTTTTCTTCTTTTTCGGTAACTTCCATTGGGTGAAGGCAGCTAATATTTTCACCGCCCACAGAAATGGTGAATATCTCTCTATAGAAAAACAAAGAGGT